CTCGCCTCCGCCGCCGCGGCGGGGGTCCGCGCTCCGTCACCATGACGACGCCCGCGAATGCCCAGAACGCCAGCAAGACGTGGGAACTGAGTCTGTACGAGCTCCACCGCACCCCGCAGGTGACAGGGTCCCTCAGCACGCCCGTCCCCAAACCCCTCCAGCCCCGGACCCCCTCGCCCAGCCCTTCTCCGGTTTTCGCCCCCTTCTAATGATCCTTGGTCCTACCTTTGAATCCCCTTAACCTTTTCAAACCACTTCCACATTTATTTTATTTAATTCTCAAAGCAGCCGGAGAGGTAGAGCAAATATCACTGCCTTCTTTTGAAAGGTGTAAACAGTTCTGCGTGGTAGAGCGGTGCTGTGAGCCTCTCCTTGGGAGTTTATTGAAAATGGAGCTCCTGATGCAGGATGGGATGGAGCCCAGACCCTGATATAGGTAGCACCGTGGCCACACTTTAAGAAATTCTGTTGACTAAGGCTTCCCCAAACCACAGATCTGTGCCACCCTCACCCTCCGGTGTCTCCATCCTCAGATCCTCCTCAAAGCTCCTACTCTTAATTAAGGGACATTAATTCTGTTCTCCATTCCCTCCAAGTCAGTAGCTCCTTCTCTCTCAGAATTCCCATCTTCTCAAGTGGCCATAATGGGGTGTCCAGATTCTGCCATCTCAGTGTATTTCTCAAAACTCCCATTTCATGGACCACTTGTCTGTCTGTCTATTTATTTGTTTGTTTTAGAGAGAGAGGAGAGAGGGGGAAAAAACAATTTGTTTCACTTATTTATACATCCATTGGTTAATTCTTGTCTGTGCCCTGACGGGGGATTGAACCTGCAACCTTGGTGTATCAGGACAATGCTCTGACCCACTGAGCTACCCGGCCAGGGCAGACCACTTGCTTCTAAAGCTCTTTACCCCCAACCCACCGCCACCTTTCCCCTCACTGGTGCCTCCAGGAAGCCATCATGGACGGTACGGAGATCGCAGTGTCCCCTCGGTCGCTGCATTCGGAACTCATGTGCCCCATCTGCCTGGACATGCTGAAGAACACAATGACCACCAAGGAGTGCCTCCACCGGTTCTGCTCCGACTGCATTGTCACGGCCCTGCGGAGCGGGTAATGGGAGGGACGCCTTGGAGATGGGGTTCCAGGTGCAGAGCTGAGGCCTCCGTGCCCTGGCGACTGACTGCTCAGGGCCTCCTCTCTCCCGCCCCAGGAACAAGGAGTGCCCTACCTGCCGCAAGAAGCTGGTGTCCAAGCGCTCTTTGCGACCAGACCCCAATTTTGATGCCCTGATCTCGAAGATCTACCCCAGCCGGGAGGAATATGAGGCCCACCAAGACCGGGTGCTCATCCGCCTCAGCCGCCTGCACAACCAGCAGGCGCTGAGCTCCAGCATCGAGGAGGGGCTGCGCATGCAGGCCATGCACAGGTGCGGGGCCAGGAGGGAAGCCGTGGCAGGGCTGCTGGGACAGATCCACGGGCCAGACTCCGGGCGCTGACTTGCTGCCCGCCATCTTCTAAACCTAGCACCCTAAGAGCTAACTGTGGCCCGATTGTCAGGCCTGGAAGTCGTGGATGTAAATTGCAGCTTCTTAGCAACGGGCGCTACTATTCTTAAACGGAGAATAGCTCACCTTCTAACTTTCTATAGGGCAGAATAGTAGAGTGACCTGGAGTGTGAGCTCTGGACTCACATTGCTGGGAATTAACACACCCCCTAGGCCAGCACTGCTCCGTCTTTAATGTGTATCCAGGTCACCTAAGAGTCCCCTTAGAAATGCAAAACTTGATTCAGTCGGCCTGGAGTTGGCCTGAAATTCTGCATTTCTGCAAGCCTATGCTACAGGTTCTTGGAGCACTCTTTGAAAGGAAGGGACTATATGATTTCAAACAAGTTATTTAACCTCTCTAAGCCTCAGTTTCCTCAGCCAGAAAATAGAGATAATGTAATTACCTGCCTCGTAAGACTTGTATTATGGGAGACGATCAATGCAAAATAGTTAGCAGTGTGCTTGGCGGGTAGTTAGTATTTAATAAATATTAGGTGTCATCATTAAGATTTCCCTGATCTTTTCAATCTCTGAAGTTTAAAGTCTAGATCTTCTTGTCCTTGATGCTTTCTAACCTCAACCGCTTGCTTCTACAGGGCCCAGCGTGTGAGGCGGCCGATGCCTGGGTCAGATCAGACCACCACGATGAGTGGAGGGGAAGGAGAGCCGGGGGAGGGAGAGGGCGATGGGGAGGATGTGAGCTCAGACTCTGCTCCTGACTCTGCCCCAGGCCCTGCCCCCAAGCGACCCCGTGGAGGGGGGGCAGGGGGGAGCAGTATAGGGACAGGGGTAGGAGGCACTGGTGGGGTGGGTGGGGGCGCTGGTTCTGAAGACTCTGGTGACCGGGGAGGGACTCTGGGAGGGGGTACCCTGGGCCCCCCAAGCCCTCCTGGGGCCCCTAGTCCCCCGGAGCCAGGTGGAGAAATTGAGCTCGTGTTCCGGCCCCACCCACTGCTCGTGGAGAAGGGAGAATACTGCCAGACGAGGTGAGAGCCCTGTCTTTCCCCAGCCCACTGAGAACCCAAAGATCATACAGCCTTCCCTCAGCGTGGGCTTTGCCCAACCAAGAAAAACCCTCACCCAGAGGCCCTTTTGGAAAGTCCCTACTTCCCTTCTGCATTCCAGGCTTCCTCTGCCCTAAATGTGCCCCCTTACCCACCCAGGTATGTGAAGACAACGGGGAACGCCACAGTGGACCATCTCTCCAAGTACTTGGCCCTGCGCATAGCCCTCGAGCGGAGGCAGCAGCAAGAGGCGGGGGAGCCAGGAGGACCTGGAGGGGGTGCCTCTGATGCTGGGGGACCTGATGGGGGTGGTGGGGAGGGTGGGGGAGCTGGCGGAGGTGACAGCCCTGAAGAGCCTGCCTTGCCCAGCCTGGAGGGTGTCAGCGAAAAGCAGTACACCATCTACATCGCCCCCGGGGGTGGAGCTTTCACGGTGAGAGCCTTTGAGGGCCCTGGTGTGGGGGGAGCAGGGAGGGCGGCCTGGGGCCCCACAACCAGGATCCCGATTTCTGACTGACC